TCTAATAATGATTATATGAGAATGGTTCAATTCAGCAATGATGAGAAAGTAGACATGTTACTGGCGTTTGGGGAATGCAGGTCAAATTGTAGGGAAGCAAAAAGAGTTTACGCACAGCGTTATCCTTATCCTTATCCTTGTCTATGAAGAACCAATCGAATATATGGATGATCTATTACAAGAATGAGGCTCTCACAAGTGACCCAAGCACCATCTGCCCAAAGTTTTTGATACTTGTATTCGAACAAAAATATCAATTCGTTGTATCATGTAGTCAATTGAAATGACCATTTTGTTTATCAGGTTATGCAGAAATGAGTAAAATAAATGGCATTTTTTGTCAATCAAGAAACTTGTACTATAAACCGGTATAACACAGAAATGAGTAGAATAAATAAGTTCGAGTATAAATAACAAAAAAGTTTATATAAATAACATTTATCGATACAATCGATTCATATATTCGATGCGTCGCGACGCTCAGCTCTAAGTAGGCGTTGAATTTGTTGAAGTTTAAAAAAAGTCCACTTGACCCCATCCATTCACTGCTGTTTACAGAAATTGAATATTTTCATTCCTTTTCGAGATATTGGTGTGCGGAGTTTTGAGTGAAAAAACCTGTATAAAGATCCTATTTGGTCTTCCTCAATCACTTTTTTTTTTCTGATCGATAGTGAAACAGTATCTATCATGCACAATTTCTATATATTATATAATCGATATCTAGATATGATTCGTGTGACTAATTACACCAACAAGAAGCAAATAACCCACACATGTATCGGTAGTAACGAAAAGGCCTGATCATAATATAGTTATCAGAGGGACAAGATAGAAAAATAAGAAACAAGTGTAGGCGATGATATTTTCCTTATAGGGTTCATTTAACTGACTTCCGAATTCACAGATATTTTTAGTCTCGTGATTGCTAATGAATATGAACGTGTTTCAAACAATAATTGAACTGATGAGTATAACGAACGAATATATTGAAAACAATCAATCAATGTTGATGAAAAAACATCGATATCTGCTGACTGTATTAAAAACAATAGATATCTATACATAATTGTTCCATCATTAACAATTAAAAGCATCATAAACTCAACCTCTTTGTTAGCAACTGTTAATGTCAATGTAAACATAAACATCATTCACATTTTCTTCAGTGTTACACAAAGTTACAAGCAGGCTGGGAGTGAATTAAACGGAATTAAATAAACATGGAACAAAGATTCACTTGTTATTTCTTATCTACACGGCAACTTGATGAGCTTATCACATTTCCGGAAGGAAGTTGTGCCTTCTGACTTATTACTTATCTCGAATGGCTTTATTCTACAAAAACTGCGGACCGTGAGGTTTTCTTTCTTCTTTTCCGATATAGAAGGAAATCGGGAATTCTGCTAGGTTTTTATCGAATTGGCATGGGAAATTGGTTTCCGGAAACTTTTGTTACTATGTGAACTAATGCGATTGATCTGTATATATATTATTTGAATTATCAATTTCCAAACGTTGATTTTGTTAGGAACTTTCGAAAAGACTTATTGCTGTTGACTTGACTTTCCAAACAACCTCAAACGTGATGAATAGAATAGAAAGTTGGAAGATCAAATTCAGGATAAAAGTATATAATTGTTTTTCAAAATCCCTATACCTATATGTTACTTACTTACTTTATCTGATGGTATTCAGAGTGCAACGAGAAATTTCGTTCGAAGTCAAGAGTCTTTATTGTTTTAGAAAGATAATTTTCAGATTATTTTAATGCATATTGATGAATCATTGCCCATAACTATTTCTGTGTGTTACATTACAAAGTTACCTAGTTATGAAATTGGAAACATATATCATCGATTATTCCAAAATTTCAAGCATTGTTCTGAGATATAGATTTGGAATATGCAACTACTTACTATTTTATATTCATAAAACAGAGTCATTAAATCTGAGAACTAACGTCTATATGTATTTTTTATAAAATTTTGAAAAGTTTTATTTAATAATAATGCAAATGGAGTATGTATAATCAATATATTTTTATATATTATTCAAATTTATCTGTAATCATAGCTCCTATGTTTTATAAGTTGAAGCAACATTGAACACACATAAGTTCTAGTTGATTTAATTCATTTCAACCATTCAGATCTATGACTCTTTTTTTTTCTATTTTGCGATTCGCATTTGTTTATAAATAACGAGTGCCAAAAAATAGTACAGATGAAACCCTACAACTTTCATGCTCAAAGTTTTTTCCACCTCGTGAAGCTGTAGGGGTCATAATATAAGTAAACAGTTTTGACCATCATTTCACCGTACAATAATAATTGATATTTTAATTGTAATGGAGTTTTATCACCATCAATGAAGATCTGTCCCTTTATCCATTTTTTCTTCTAAGATACAAATTATGTATTATAGAAAATACAGTCATTTCAAGGAGATCAAAATAATACGTTTTCTTTGAGCTACAGCCACTGTAAGTCTAGAGCCTTGAAATATTTTCAAATGCTACGATAAAATGACATGAAATGCCCTAAAATCTATGAAATGCCTTGAAATTCCTCAAAATGTCGTGAAATGAAATTCTGGAAATAATATCACTCGGATGTCTAGCAGTGAGATGTGTGGTGGGCTCACCATATTATTATATTTCGGAAAGTCCTCTTCTGAGGGATTCAAAAACTTAAATATCAGTTCCGTTGGTAGACCATGGAAGACCAAAGAAATGCATTAAAATGACTTGAAATGTTTTGAAATGCTATGATGAAATGACAGAAAATGCCCTAAAATCTATGAAATGCCTTGAAATTCATCAAACTGTCATGAAATCAAATTCTGGAAATAATATCACTTGGATGTCTAGCAGTGAGAAGCGTGGTGGGCTCACCATATATTTCGGAAGGTCCACCTCTGGGGGATTCAATAACTTTGAATCCATTAGTTTCATTGGTAGACCATGGAACACCAAAGAAATGCATTGAAATGACTTGAAATGTTTTGAAATGCTATGATAAAATGACAGGAAATGCCCTAAAATCTATGAAATGCCTTGAAATTCATCAAACTGTCATTGAATGAAATTCTGGAAATAATATCACTTGGATGTCTAGCAGTGAGAAGCGTGGTGGGCTCACCATATATTTCGGAAGGTCCACCTCTGGGGGATAAAAGAACTTTAAATCTATTAGTTTCATTGGTAGACCATGGAACACCAAAGAAATGCATTGAAATGACTTGAAATGTTTTGAAATGCTATGATGAAATGACAGAAAATGCCCTAAAATCTATGAAATGCCTTGAAATTCATCAAACTGTCATGAAATGAAATTCTGGAAATAATATCACTTGGATGTCTAGCAGTGAGATGCGAGGTGGGCTCACCATATATTTCGGAAGGTCCACCTCTGGGGGATTCAAGAACTTTAAATCCATTAGTTTCATTGGTAGACCATGGAACACCAAAGAAATGCATTGAAATGACTTGAAATGTTTTGAAATGCTTAGATGAAATGACAGAAAATGCCGTAAAATCTATGAAATGCCTTGAAATTCATCAAACCGTCATGAAATGAAATTCTGGAAATAATATCACTTGGATGTCTAGCAGTGAGATGCGTGGTATGGGCTCACCATATATTTCGGAAGGTCCAACTCTGGGGGATTCAAGAACTTTGAATATATTAGTTTCATTGGTAGACCATGGAACACCAAAGAAATGCATTGAAATGACTCGAAATGTTTTGAAATGCTATGATGAAATGACAGAAAATGCCCTGAAATCTATGAAATGCCTTGAAATTCATCAAACTGTCATGAAATGAAATTCTGGAAATGATGTCTAGCACTATCAATATTTTGCGATAACAGTAGATGTTTTCAAATAAATCATTGTTTGGAATACAATATCGAAACAAAGAGCTTACTGAAGGCAATAACAACAATAATAATTGTTGTTCAAACCTCACATTGATTTCTGTTCGTAGGCGTTTCGTATTTAGCCGCACGCTCGGTACAGGAAATCGATGCAATACAAATGGATATATGGGTGCCTAGACTTCAGAAATCGTCGATTAAAATTCCAAACAAATCGCAGTATCCGTCAGAAGGATGACACACACTTACGCAAACATATCGAAGATATTCGCGATGAATTTGTGTACTGGATTTGGAATTTGAGAGTTGCACAAGTTGTTTCTAGGCGAAGGTCTATATTAAGAATTTCATTCGCATAAATGTCGTCAAAGTTTGGTAATCAGTTTTGGTTATTAGTAAATTGTCCTCTGGGCATGAATGTGTGATGGTTTTCTAGATATATCATTAGGGTGTCCCAATTTGAAGAGTGGATATGAAGGAAGTGCAAAGTTTTGGAGTCAATACAAACTGATTCGATTATTTATGTACATTGTTACATGATGCAACGATAAGTTCTTCATCGATTTTCTAGGTCTATATCTTCTCGAAGCAGAGAGTCACTTAATTGGTTATTTTGGATTGATGAGATTGAATAATGTACCTAAAACAACCACTTTCTACCTATACATTTGTTCGCTTCACATCTTGCAATGACGAATGACGACAAATGCGCAAAAAGAAAAAAAAGGAAAATTATGAAAAAAACATCAGTTGCCATTGTCGAAAAAACATTATCAATAAAATGCATCTGATGGACTAATGGTCCATTAAGATTTCATTGATGATTTTCTGACATTGAAGTATGTATACCATTGAATCATCGGTCAACCAGTACTGTTCCAGTGATCTTTAGGAAATGAAAGAGACTCATTGACTCCCCAATACCGTAAATATAATGATTCATAATAAATCTTGATTCATATAAATGTACACAAATGTTGAACAAGCACAATAATTGAAGTAAAACAGGTAATATATGATAGAAACACGAGTAAAAACAGCAATGAATAAGGATTTTTTATCACCAACTTCATCTTGAAAGTAATGTAATTCAATTTGCGTTTGCTCTTTGGTTACAGTCTCTCCTTTCCAACTTCGGCAAGGAGTCAGCACACGTGATCAAGCGAGGCCTGATGTGGCAGCAGCGAGACAAGTTCTTCAGCAGATGGAAGGAGCGCTATTTCGTGCTCACCAGGGACTATTTGCACGTCTTCAGAAGGGCCTCAGGGGCCGATAGGATATCCGAGATGGGCCAGTTCATTTTCAAAGTGAAGCTGATCGACGTGGTGAAACTCGAGTGGGAAAACAAAAAGACTTATAGCACAGGTGAGTTATGGTATAATTAATATTTTAATATGTTGTAATGTGTCCCTTATGATCTAGCTAGTGAGAGTGTTCAAATTTTAAATAGATTTCAATATGTTGTGGTGTTAGTAGCCATTAGTATATTTTAAGGTTACTTTTTTTTCACTTTCTCTCTCTCTCTCTCTCTCTTCCTAACGCTCACCCACCAAGGGCGGAAAAGGCAGAAATAAACAAATACACCAAGTTTCTTATAGCATGAAACCCATCAAGTTAATTCATATCTATCGAGATACTGAATAAATTCCATCACAGTTTGATGATTTTGAAAGTGTATTGTGTTCAGCCTCGTCCAATCGTCAGTCAGGATTACACATTAGTAAACTAAAGTATACGTAGGGATATACGATGGAGCGGAATTTCACTTTACTAAATTTTCCCTTAGGTACATGCACACATGGGTAAACACTTAACGAGGCTATACAAAAATTGTTTCACTCGCAGCTTTTTGTACTATAGTAGTTGAGTTTGGTATTCTGTAGTTCTTTATTTGTACCTCCACGTATATACTTTTGACAGTATAGAATACTTTGGATTACCTATTTGGGTTTATAATCATTTGTCGATGTTTGCAATTTTTCCCATTTTATGTAAGTAGGTGAGATAATAGAAAGAAAATATAATTCACACTACTTAGTAGAAGACTGGCGTTGGATTAATAATTATGAAGAACGAGGTGATATACAGGATAATATGAAATTTCCAGGGTTGTTGAATGAATCACAATATCATGCTTCAATTTTGCAGATGATTTTTCTCAAAAGTCGGTTCCATCAGCCATAGCTCCTTGATTGATTTCTGGATTATATTCCTCGAAAGTTATTCCGAAGTGGCATTACCCCCCCTAAAATTTCACTCTAGAGTCTCCCTCGTCACTTTTATGACCATTATCCATTGGTTCAACTCATAAAAAAAGAAAAATAATATATATGTTAACTATCGCATTTGAGAAAATAGTGGAATGATTTGTAATTTTGAAAGAAAGTGAATGGGAGATTTTTCAATGTAGTAGGTACCTATACTAACCTGCATACTGCCAAGCACTGGAAGCAAAAAAAGGGCTTACTTTTTTCGCCACCAAGTAAATTTGCCATGTTTTAGTGAAAAGTGTTAAAAATCAATTATTTCTCGGTTGGAAGCACGAAAAAATGGTGACTTTGTCTTTTCTCAAGGCATCTTTATCTGGCTGCATAATATCGAGATAGCTCAACCAAACTAGAATTCTCGGAGGTTGACAAAGTTACACGATGTTTTTTATTCTTTTTGATTATTTTAATTTGCAGGTCTGTAACATATCTGAAGAACTAAAGAACAAAAAAAAGTATTCAGAAGCAGTAATTATCCTAATGACACTAAAACATTCTCTTCATTCATTGGAAATATGTTGCCTGACGCAGCTCAGTTGATTTTTATTCCTCTATTTTAACTCGATTTTATCAGAATAGCTATTTTCATTTAACATTGAATCATTCTTGAGTTTTTGTTTTATATAGATACAGCTGATAATGAGGCTGTGTGACCAATTTGAGGTATATTTTTTGTATTCACTTATCCATTCGTTCCTTCTGGTTTTGATGTACTGACCTGAATATTTCAATGATGTCGATAAGTGGTTGGTGAGGTGAAGTATCCTGTTAATTGAATTAATTTCTATATACTTCACCAGAAACTTCGCCAATTTTTCAACTGGACAAAAAATTCATTATTCCAGATTTTTTGGGATTTTCTCTCCTCGTTTCTGTAAAATAAAAATATGAGTGGTTTTTCAATTAATATGTGTAGTGAGGACAAACCAGATGAATTGCCCCAAAATGTCACTGCCTTTGAAAATTTGTTACATCAGAGAGCCTTAAAGAAAAATTCATTCGCTTGTCAGTGACAGTTTGTATTGAAAAAATATTTGGAGGAGAAAAATATGGGTATATAGTAAAAATATCAGATTCCATATATACATATATACAAGGTGTTTTTGATATAAGTGCACATATATTCATCACATTAATATGATACAGTCTAAGAAATCTTCCCATGATATCAGAGTTTTTCTAATTCTTCTAATTGACAGGAAATTTCATCTAAAAAATTGAACAAAATACGAGAAAAAATCATAAGTACGCCACTTTGAAACAATATCATTTATATTGGACTCCGCAAGATGGTGCCTACCACATGGAAATTTGAACAGAGGTGACGTCAGATTTGCTACAGTGTAGAACTTTGGGTAGAAAAAAGGGTGTAACCTCAAATTTTAATTTGATCCCTAAATTTTTTTATTAGTGCCATTCGATAGTACAGGTTGAGCTTTCTCAGTGTTTGAAAGATTTGCACTTATTTCAATGCCACCCTCTATAATGAATTCGAGGCAGGCATAGACGACGCGAAAAAATCACCATCTAGTGGTGAAAATTCAACTCGATGTTGAATGAACGAAATATTTCATTGATTTATATATTTCGTATATATTCTTATCAAAATTATCATTCATCAAATCTACGGACTGTATATAGTTGAATCATCATCAACATTATTTTGGATCGACATGATTTGTTTTTGGGTTAACTATTACATTTGTTGATCGAATTGATATTATGCTGTTAATTCAATTGAACTTCATTCTTGATTTGAACAAGTTGCTTCTATGAAATAGGCATTTATCTGTTTGATTCAACAAAAAATTGCTCAGTCCAACAAACATAATTCAAGCATAAATAATTTGTTGAAGCAACAAATCCTTTTTCTCCGTGTACCTTATTCAAACTCGAGGAGGGCATATTCGTTATTGACTACAGGTTGGCTCTTTGTTTTTTTATTGTAATCAAGGTTTTTTCCAGTAAGTGCTAAGAAAATGAGGTAAAACAAGAGTGATATTAATTTTTTAAGTTGTCACTCAATACGATCGATTATATGTAGGTTCTGTCTATTGTTAATAAGAATTGAAAAATGCCATACTTCAAAAACTATTGTGTTGAGAAAGGATCACATTTGAATCCAAAGCATAAGCCAAGTTCAACTACTCAATTCCGCCACAGGGCGTTAAAAACTTAAGGGCGGAAGGGTATCGTTGATTTTTCCCTGTATAATGATCAACTCATCAGCTTTTCACGGAAATTAATATTCAGGCTAACAGTCCGGAACATCAATCTACGATTTGAATGAAATTTAACAAAAATCGGACAAGTATTAAAAAAGTTACAGGGTGAACAATTTAGGCAACTTTTTTTGTGGCCGGTTTTTTTTTGACGGTGGGCATGAACTTATTTGTTTTTTATTCCAGTTGCTCTAATTCTCGGCCGAGATGGAAAAATCTATCTGAGGTCACCCGAAGGACTAGAGGACTGGTATGAACTCTTGGAAGAGTGCATGTTCACTAGTAAGGAGAGGAGAAAAGCCCTAAGATATTCACACAACGATGGCAGGACTAGCAAGGATAATAATAATGATGGGGATTATTTGGAACAGTGCAAAGCTAATCGTCAAAAAATGCGTAAGTGGATTCAATTTCAAAATATGCTAAATACTGTCTGTAGGTTAACCGAGGAGGTGCTACGTTCATTTTATTTGATTATTTGGGATTCGGGAACGAATCTGCTCCCGTTCTCAACATAAAAATGCAAATATTTTTCTTCGAAAATTCTGTTCTTATAGTATGTCACCGTCATTCCTTGCTCGCACAAGTCTCTCGAAGACTTCTGAGGGTTGCTCATAAATAAATGTTTGAGACACAAATTAATTTTAATTTCTGCTAGTATTAATGATCTTTTTCTACGGCTATGGCACAAAATTGTTCTTTCTCAACTGTTTTTGATTTAACAATGAGATTCACCGCATGACAATTTCAGTTCCTCACCTGACAAAACAATGATTTCATTGTGTTACAGAATATGTGGTTATCATTTTAACATGAATCACGTCTCCACACAATGTCAATGAATGTTCTTTTGACTATTTCACTCATCATATAATCTAGGTAACTTTCAATTCTGATTGGTCTGACAGCGTTCATGTTTTTAAAGATGTCACCATGGATAGCAAAGCAAAGTCTGTCAGTTTGGCGTTAAATAATTATTGCTGTACTTCAGAATGATTCACTCATTTATAATCAATGTTTTTTATGCTTCGTGCATGAACGTGAAATAGTCTAGCAAAATACCACTCTGTTCTAAATATCTTCTCATAATTCTGTATTTCATTATTAACTCAATTGTGTTGCAAGCAACGCAGTCAGTCATCTCGAATATTCAGAGAACATCGTGGTTTAACTTATGATAACAGCTCTGTTTTTAGATAACATCAAATTTGAATTTCATGTTATTTCTGTGGTAGAATCATTTCGATATTTGGATATATGTTGAAGCCGGAGAAAAAGTATAGTGTATAACGATCGCGGAATGCTAATTTCCCACTCGTATATGATTTTCAAACTGAAGAAACCCGTACACGTGGGAAATGACTGTCATTCCGTACTCGTTACTCATTCCGATGTTATGGTGCTTATGGTTTTTTTTTATCAATTTTTCCACAAAATAGTGCGTACAGGAACACCACTGATCAATCAAAATGTATAATTTGAGTGTCCTAAAAAATCATGTGGGCTCTACTCTCAATAATATGAATAGATTGACAGCTGAGATAAGTTATTCAAAAATGGTATACAGGGTGTTCCACATTTCACTTGGAATGCTCTATATACGACGTCCACTTACGAAACTATAATTAGTGTCTCACCTACTAAACACAACTTCAAGCTTGGGTGTGATAACGTGAAAGCCAACAGAATTTTGATTGGAGCATTGAACTTTTTCAATGATTCGAAGGGGATATATGAATATTTTTAGTGATATTATGGTATTTGATTCTGATATTTTGAGATGAAACACCTTGTATTATTCTGTATTTTGTAGAGTTCGGACGACTAGCTACAGATACAGCCAGTACTAGAGAAGATACATCAGTATCAGTTAATAGAAGACTCAAAACTGCGAGAGAAGAAGACTGGGAACCAGATTATATTAATAGACTTTCCTGTAAGTATCCACAGGTTCCGAAATCATGTAGATTTATGATTATGCAATTAATTTTCAATTTTCATCCCAAAGGTTTTCAAATATTTCGATTCACTACGTCATTTAACATGGTCAAAACAATTACTTTTCTGTTTCGATTCAATATAACATGCAAAGCTGAATTTGGGATCAATGACTGGGAACCTATATAAGGGAAATCTGAAAGTGTTTTTTTTTAACATCTCATCAAAATAAGTTGTTTGGCAAAGAATTGCTCACATAAAATATTGAAGATAACGGAGGTACGGGTATTCAATGGTTTGAAGAAAACTCAAACTATGAAACATTTTGTTCACATTTTCTCAAAAAACACACGAAAAAGCAGTTATTAGTCTAGCATTAGATACCCTACAGTTGCATTATTCCATCAAAAACACTAATCAAAAGCCTCTTTTTACAATTTCAACCTTTTTTTCGAGATATATACCCTGTTAAATAAAAACCTCACTTTCAGTATCACCCTGAATAGAAGCTATAAAATCATTTTATCCCTAATGTTCTTTGATTGTTCACAAGGAAAAAGCGAAATTTCTTGAACATTTCTGCAAAAAAAATTAGTATATCCAGACACGAGAATGAATTATGTCTGGTAGATATCTATACAGAAAGAACACAAGAAAAGTGTATCCTACTTCTTTTACAACTCTCAAAACAAACGTATAGCGCTCGTTCCAGTTTTTGATTTTCGTTTCGCCACATATATTTCTTTAATCTTCGACATCGACATTAATATATCACGAATTCACCCAAATTTGCGGTTTTTTCGGAGAGAGTGGATAATTATTGCATAAGTTTCAGCTATTTTCACGGTCTAAGCTAAAGAGTGAAAAGAAAGCGATATATATTTTTCAATTTGATGTACTGCATATTATTCTGTATACGCTTTCTAAACTCGATGATAAAAGTTATTAACGATTCAAAGTATGTAACAAACTATGCGATGTATCATCAAGAATGATCTCAGAATACGTGAAAACATGAAATATTTGATGGGATATACATGAAAAGGGTCGTGATCACATGTGACTATCACGTGTTTACTATCAATTTTTCAACCTGGTCACAATTCATTGAATGGCATTTTTCGCGAAATACTTGATACTTCCTGATATTCAATTTCATTTCTCCATTATATAGGGTGTATCTAAATAACACCGAAAAAATTCAAGGGGTGATTTTTGGTGATATTTTAGGGAATTAAGTTCATATGAACATGTGTCCTAATTTGCTCCGTTTTCGAGATACAGGGTATCAATATTTACATGAAAAATCGTTTATTTATTCATTACTCAATTGTCTTTTCATCAATTTCAATAAAACGTTGTGGTTTTGTTAATAGTGATAGCATAGATCTAAAGTGTGTATTTAGATCTATGGTGATAGTGAGCTTCTTCTGGTGCAGTTAGAACGCATGCCAGTGGGTTAATTTTATCGATGTATTGGTGAATGTTTTTCTGAGTTTCATATATTTATCATAGATTGAACAATTGAAATAACAACTTTTTTATCCTCTGTATGATTTTAGCATCAAGCTTAGTTTTTTAGGAAACTATAAAATTTTAATGTAAGAATTCCATTGAGATCACCATACTGAATTTTGGAAACATGAAAGCTCATACAGAGGGGTTATAAATAAAAACAATTGATACTAAAAACTTCAACATCCTGTATCTCAAAACGGAGCAAGTTAGGACACATGTTCATATGAACTTTATTCGTTAAAATATCACAAGCATTCACCCCTTGAATTTTTACGGTGTTATTTAGATGCACGACCCTGTATATGAGTTCATTTATTTTCTGTTAAATAGGAAATCCACACTCATTTACATATCTGAGTTTCTTCAAACATGTCTTAGACATATAATGTCTCAACCCTCGCGAAAAATCCCCCATATAGAGTTGTGGTAATTTGATATCTCTCTCTCGATGTAGAGGAAACCAGAGCTATACTAAAGAGGGAAATGTACCCTTGATAGGACTATAGATATATATATATATATATACCTACTATCTTCATTATGAGATTATGACTAATACTTTATTGTTAGGGGGAGACTGTCATCAGGATTGAGCTTTCTTTTTCATTTATAATCTCTCTAGGGAATGAATTATTGCGGAATTTTTTTGAGTACATGAATTTTCTTTACAAATTCATGTACGAGACAAATTGCCCGCAATTAATTCATGCACGTGGGGGATCCCAGGTAGCACATCATATTGGCTGGAACCCGATTTCATATTGGGCCGATATAGATATATCGTACATGTGAAACATAATATAGGTCCAATATGAGAGTATATTGGACATACAATATTGAAATGATAATATTGGTGGAATATTGGTTCAACCTGAGCTAAATATGGATTGTCAGCTACAATATTGTAGCGATATTGGTTGTAAAATTCGTTAACAATCTGTTGAAAAACATATCCATAAATGTTATATAATATTGTTTTACAAATGTCGATACAACAACATCCCAGACAGCACCAGATATTCCATGAATCTCCCTATCATATTCCTTTTGGAATATTGGAATATTCTAGAAATAATCTGGAATATTCCGGAATATCTGTGGAATATTCTCTAAATATGCGAATGGGAATTCCTCAGATAATCATAGAATATACCCGAAAGAATATTCTATGTTGAATGTTCCTGGAATATTCCAATAAACATATTCTAAAATAAAAAAAAGTGACCCAAGTAGGGATCGAACTCGTGACCTCGAGACTATCAGAGCAACGCCTTGACCACTAGGCCAGTAATCGAATTGAATAATGTTATACAAAACAAGTTCTTGTGAGAGCATTGTTCGAAATCGGATCATAAACACTTTTTGTTTCAAAATCCCCTTATATCTAATTGATGTTCGATACTCACATCTCTGAAATAATAAATGGTATTTATATGTGTTGAGAAACATAGGAATATTCATGGAATATTTCATGAATATACACCACAGAATATTCAGTTGAGAATATTTCATGAATATACCGCACAGAATATTCAGTTGGGTATATTTCATGAATATACCGCACAGAATATTCAGTTGGGTATATTTCATGAATTTACAACAAAGAATATTCAGTTGGGAATATTCCTGGAAGATTCATACCTGAATATTCTCTGAACATCACTTTGGAATATTCCTTTTAGATGTTCCAGAGGCATGTATATATTCTAGGAATAATCGATGAATATTCGGAATATACTCCTGCTTTTTAGCATATTTAGAGAATATTCTATGAATATCCAGTGCTGTCTGGGATCGTATACATATTGTTCCCGACATTTATAACCAATATCGCAATTTGAACATTCTCCCCATGTCGATTCTGAAGCGGTTATGCAATATTGTATATTCAAGTTAAACGGCATATTGGTTGGGTATTGTTTTAACAATATTTGAAACATCATATTCACCTATATTGATTGATATCATTTTATCTATATCATGCGGAAGATATCGTATACATTTTGTTTCGTACATTTATAACCAATATCGTGATTTGAATATTCTCCTCATGTCAATTCTGAAGCGGTTGTGCAATATTGTATATTGAGGTTCGATGGCATATTGGTTGAATATTGTTTCAACAATATTCGATACATCATATTCACCTATGTTGATTGATATCATTTTATCCATATCATGCGAAAGGTATCGTGTACATATCGTTTCCAACAATTATAACCAATATAGCAATTTGAACATTCCCCCCATGTCAATTCTGAAGCGGTTATGAAATATTGTATGTTCGAGTTCGACGGCACATTGGTAGAATATTGTTTAAACAATATTTGGCACATTGAATTCACCTATATTGATTGATATCATTTCAACTATATCACGCGGAAGATATCGTATACATATTGTTTCCAACAATCATAACCAATATCGCAATTTGAACATTCTCCCCATGTCGATATTCTGAAGCGGTTATGCAAAATGAATATCAATAACGGCAATTCAATATATATCTTATATCGGTCATAAAAGAGAAAAACAATATTGTATTTTCAAGTTCAATTGCATATCGGTTGGATAGTTTTCCAGGCATATTCAGAAAGTAATATCATCTTATATTGGCTGATATCTGATTCACTATATCATGTGAGCAATATTGTTCACATATTGTTTTGAGAATACATATCGATATCGAAATTTCGATATTAATTCCATAGCATGCACTCTCAAACCGAAGTCGATAGATGGTGCTATAAATGATTCGTAACGTAATCCCATTGCCGATCAGACGAGAGCATATAAATATTGGCTCTAGACGATTGTAAAGCATTATCACATGGAGTAGGAGTTAACCGTGATCAATAAGGCGGCTTCCTCATGGCGAGGCCCTCCCATTGCACTTCGGCTGGGCTGACCTTCGTGATTATTCCTAATGCGAATAACACGCAAAAATTGATATGAAAATATTCCACCAATATTTCGAAGACAACATAGCTACATAATGATTTTCAATAATGTACCAATATTTCCAACCAATATTGCACCAGTATAATACTATAATATTCCAGCAATATTGGTATGACAATATTTTACCAATATTTTTGAGACAACATAGCTTCATGATGTTTTTCAATGATTCACCAATATTTTCATATAACATTGCACCAATATTGCCGAATGTTCACCATTAATTTCTCGCTAATATTGATATTACATTTTGTGACCAATATAACTCCACGAATATCCAACCAATATTGATATGAGAATATTCTACCCACATTTGGAAACTGATATTGTACCAATATCGCCGAATGTTCACATTTTTTTTCTCGCCAATATTACTTTCACAATATTTTGCCGATATTCTCGTAATATTGCACCGATATTGTCCCGATATATGTGTGCTACTTGGGATTCGGTAAGAAAATTTTATACCGGAATTATATCCAAGAAGAAAACACCGAGCGAATATTCACTCTCCCTGCA